AAACTACTTTTCCCAAAGCAAAAGCAACCAAAATTAATTGGCACCTTGTACCATTTCTCTATCCCACAGCACTGCTTTCTCCATTTCAGTTCCAGACCCTGAGCCCCATCCACTGCTTTTTTTAAAAAACAGTTCACAGGCCTTGGGCGTGCTAGGCAAGCACACTATCACCTACCTACATCAACAACTGCATTATCTACTGCTCAGATTTTTCCTTTACTTCGAAAATAGTTGTCTCTAGGGGAATTACTAGCTCTTACACTGTTTCTAACCAATAATCTTTTTTTTTTTTTTTTTGGCAGTGCTGGAGTTTGAACTGAGGGCCTCATGCTTGCTAAGCAGGCACTTTGCCACTTGAGCCGCTGCACCAGCCCTTTTTTATGTTGTGTATTTTCAAGATAGGTTCTCTCGAACGATTTGCCTGGGGCTGGCTTTGAACCTCAATCTTTGTAATCTCTGCCTCCTGAGTAGCTAGGATTACAGGGGTAAGCCATCAGCTCCCGGCAATAATTGTAGCTTTTATTATACCTTTCATTATCTATTGTAATGTTTGTTGGTTATCTCTTCTCTACCTTGGTTATGAACATCTGAAGAGCAATAGTATATTTTGTCTTCCTTCTACTACCTTACACACACCTACTCAAGTGGGTACTCAAATTTATGTGGAATTTATATTAACTAAATTAATATATTCTTTGCCCAAGGAATGCTTTAATAAATCATAAAAACATATATGTTTTTATATGTCTATTTATTGTGGTTCTCTTCTTTTGCTACTGACAGTTAGGAATGAGGTAATTGTCAGACAGTGAGGCTTGCTTGTTTGTTGAGATGGGGCCTTGTTAACTTTTTGCTCTGACTGCCGTTGAACTACAGTTCTACTGATCTCTATATGCTGAGTAGCAAGGATTACAGGTATAACCACCACACTAAGCTCTGTAACCCATTTCTTTTAGTAGGTTGTAAGTTCAGCTGTTGCAAGACAGACCCAACACACAGTGGGTTAGAAAGAAAGCAGTTTATTGAGTTGTAATAATCCAATTAAGAATCCCAGGGTCCACACTGTCAGGAGCCCAGGCTCTGCCTACTTATTGCTCCACCTCATGTAGATAAGGGCGTGACCCTCAAGAAGAGGAAAGGGGAATGGGGTGCAACTTAGTAGTAGATGCTTACCTAGCAGTGTAAGGCCCTAGCTTTCCACGCTAGTGCCCTCAAAAGAACAGCAACAAGCAAAACAAAACAGGAGGAAGTGTCTTGAGGCCCAAACAGAAGTGCCAAGAGCAGCTCAAGTTGGTGGCTTTCTGTGTTATAATGTTGGAAGGAGGGTTTGGTGCCACACCGTGGAGGGCTTGGGCTTGCAGGGCTGAAGGACTTTGAGACTTTGACCTCTGAATACTATGGAGGCTTCATGTAAATGATTGCTATACCCTCATCTTGTTATGACATACTATGTCAGACAAACTAGAAGCCATTCTGGATGTTTCAAGAGGATACTGTAGTAGTTAAGGCAGCACAGATAGCTTTGTCTCTAGGATTGACACAGGAGGGCAGGTTTGTGGGGTGGAAGGGAAGTACTAATGGCCTAGACAGTCTTTTGGCTTAAAATATCCAGAATGCCTTGTAGTTTCTTGTCTGGGTTATATGACAGAGTAAGAAATAATATATATTTGGTTTCTGGCCCTTATTCCTGATACAGAGCTCCTAAATCCATTGAAAAACTTAGGGTGATAGGAGAATCTTTTGTCCTAATGAAGCAACTTTTGGTGGACTCCTGGATAGAGGTTAGTCACCAGAAAGACCAAATCATAACTGCATGTTTGAAACTTTAAGCCCCAACATTCAGCCTCTGGGAGAGATTAGGTGGTGGAGATTAATGGTCAATCATGTCTACATGATGTATCCTCCCTAAAAAATCCCTAATAGATGGGATTCAGAGTGCTTCTGGGTTGAGTACATCCACATGCCGGGAGGGTGGTGTATCCCAAATCCATGCTCCAAGGGAACTTTTCCCAGCCATATCTTACCCTATGTATCTCTTCATATGGCTGTTCATTTGTATCCTTTAAAATACCCTTTTTAGGGCTAGAGGCATGGGTCAAGTGGTAGAGCACTTGCCTAGCAAGCATGAGGCCCTGGGTACACTGCCCGGTACAATAACAAAAAATAAATAAAATACCCTTTACGAAGTACAGTGTAGGAGCCATTCTGTCAAATGATCAAACGTGAGGTCAATGGTTAGTCAGAAGCATGGGTGACAACCTGGATTTGAGCTTGGTATCTGAAGTAGAGGCAGTCTTGTAGGACTGAGGCCTATAAGCCTTAATCTGAAGAGTCTGGCACTAACTCCAGTTAGCAGCAAAATTAAGTCAAATTATAGGATTCCCAGCTGGTGTCCACAGATAAATTGGAAAATTCCTTGGTATGCGACAACCCTCCCCCCAATCTGATGTCAGAAGTAGAGAAAAGGATTTTTTTTCCTAATGCAGGTAGTATTAAAATATGTCCACAAATTCTTTGAGTCTTCTTTCTTCAAAAGGCAGAGTCTAAATCCTCTCTCCTTGAGTGTAGGTTGGATTTAGTGATGTTTCTGTTCATGTCGTGTGGCACAAGGGATGCTGTGTGCTATCTGAGGCTTGGTCATTAAAATAAAAAGTGTTTCTGTTTCTGGAGGAAGCCCAGCCATCATGATGTGAGGACATTCAGTCAAGTAGCATGTGGACAGGGCCATACAGGAAGGACTGGAGCTTCCATCTGACAACTGGCACAATTTGCCAGCATGAGGGAACGAGCCACCTTAGAGGTGGATCCTCCAGCCTCAGTCAAGCCTTCAGATGGCCACAGCCTTGACCAAAGTCTTGAGAATCTCATGAAAGACTCAGAGCTGGAACTGCTATAGCTACTCCTCAGTTGTTGACTTGCAAACACTGTGAGGAATAGGAGCTTATTGTCATTTTAAGTCACAGTCTGGGGGTGATCTGGTACCCAGCATTAGGTACGTGATTCTCTGATGCATGGATTGAGTCAGACAGACTGGAGACCCTCTGAGCTGGTGTATTAGTGGTGCCCTTGCAATGGTTGGGGATTTTTACCCCAGGCTACAAGTCTTCCTCTCCATACCAACTGCTCATTGATTTTCCTGGGCACAAAATTCCTTGCCCACTGTCACATAAAGGGGAAGGTAGCACCAAATGCTGCAAATGTAAATTAGGGTGATTTTTTTTTTGGTGGGGAGGAGAGGTATTTACAAGCAGAATGATAACAGTACACTCTGTCTCCCAAGCTTTTAGAGAAGGAAATCAGGCCAGGTTTAGCAGGACTGTGAGTACCAAGGCTGGAGTTTGTGTATGGAAGGAGCCTGTCTTGGCATGTATTGTATGTTTATAGGACTAGGGAAGCAGGGAACATATATGCTACCTTTGTGGATGCTGCCTGATGGAAAGATGACCTCATTAACCTAATTTTTCCAATTGAGCTTGCTGGTTCCTATTGAGCTAGAAAAGCTCCTGCTGAATCAAACCCCTTATCTGGAGCTCCATTTTTCTCCCAGTTCCTGCTTAGTCCAGACCCCCAGTTATCTCCTGCTCTCCCTCTACTTTAGGCCACCATCAAAGGACTAAATTCCAAACTTGATCATGTCTTCTCACTGTGCAACCCATCAGTAGTTCAACCTCTGGTTCCTGTGCCTTTGGGATCAGTGTTCCTGGCCCCTATGCAGTGTGTAGCATTTATGCCTTTTACTCCTTGCACACTTACATGTCATGCTCCAGAACATCAGACTGCCCACATGCAGGCATACCTCAAGGATGTGCACTTCCTTGCTGTTGTACTGTCCACTGTCTAGATGCCTGTCCTTCCTGTTGTCAGGAAGGAAATCTTTATTGTCAGGAATCACCTTTGTTCCATTTCTCTTCATCCTTTATACCTGCTCCTTTCCAGCAAGCCCAGAGCTGGACCACTTCTTGATACTCAACCACCCTCTCATCCAATACACTGTCTTCTCAGTGTGGATTGAGATATCTGTACATCCTCCCAGCCTAGGAGCCCCCTGAGCAAAGGGACTCTGTCCTTAGTCAATTCCTTCTCCAGCACCAGGCACAGCATCTCACTTGTAACCCATACCCAGCTTAAGTCCCATCCTTTTATGGACTCTTCCTAGGCCACCTCTTTTCCTTAATTGAACTGACACATCCCGGGTCTACAGCATTTTTGCCCTAATTGTATTTTGCCTCATTTCATCATCTTGTTAAAAATGTCTCATTTCTCTTACAGGTTTCACTGGTATCAGTGAGAGTTTTCATGTAGTGGCATTGGTCTGGTGTCCAGCTCCATCACTCAGGTCCGAGCTAAGAACTGGTCTTCTGAGCTGTACCTTGCCCATCCGTAAGATGGAGACACTCAAGACACCATTCCTCTTACAGATTACAGCCAGGGGTGGGTGCCTGGCTTGAGGACAGACAGCTGGCCACAGGCTGGCCAGGAAGAAAATCAGGATTTGGGCAGAGATTCTGCCCCAGGTGGACAGTGTATGATCTAATGCTTGTGAGTTTTAATTAATTGTACAATTTAATTGTACAAATTTGAGATAGTGTTACATAAAAAATAACTTCACTTTTTGTGTCAAATTTAAAACAATGCAAATATGCCAAAATAAAGCTTCTTGGAATCCTGTTCACACTTTGGGAAGCCCAGAGGAGCTTTCTTGTTAGCTCCAGTCTTTTTGTCCGCTCATGCCTGTAATCCTAGCTACTTGGGAGGCTAAGATTGGGAGGATCATGGATTGGGAGATCCCATCTCCAAAATAACAATAGCAAAATGGACTGGAGGTGTGGTTCAAGCAGTCAGGTGCCTGCTCTGCAAGCACGAAGCCCTGAGTTCAAACTCCAGCCAGTCCCAAAAAAAAAAAAAAAAAAAAGAAAAGAAATACCTGCCCCCCCTCATTATTGAGAGCTGGCCTAGAGAGTTTCTGTCCTTGTGACAACATTGTAACCAAAGTGCGAGTATTGTACCTGGCCTGTAGTTGGGTGCGCAACAAAAAGTAACGGCCATTATCCTCTTCATCAGTATTATGATTGTCTAACTGACCACCATTTTTTTCTTACAACTATTATTTTTGCTTGCAGCATGGTTTGTACTTCTTCATAACCCTGTACTCTAAAGCAGGGCAGTGTAATGGTTAAGTGGCTTTGGAGTCTTATGGTCCTGGTATAAAAACCTAACTCCTTAGTTTGGATGTGTGGCCTTGGGCACCTGGGTAGGTTATCTACATTCTTTGAACCTTACTTCCTTATATATCAAATGATGATAAAAATAAAAACAAACAATAACAACAACATAAACCCAAAAAATTTATGCTTCCACGATTGTAGGGCTAAATGATGAAAGACTGTGAAATGCCTAACTCAGCGCCTGGCACCAGTAAGCTGATTGTAAGTGGTAGTTGTTGCTGCTTCCTGTTATGATTACTATTTAGTCTTGTGCTTTAAATTCAGTAAATATTTTTTTGGCTCACTTGTCACCACACAAGGAGAAACACTGGCTTTCATTTTCAGGAAGGAAATTTGGGCAGCATCAAGAGAATAGGGTCTCTTGCCCAGAATTAGCTAGCTCATCAGCCAGATGAGGAATTGACAGGTGGACTGGAGGTGTGGCTCAAGCAGTAGAGTGCCTACTTTGAAATTACTCACTCACAGCTTGGAACCCTAACTAGCAAAACCCACTGAGCTGCTTTCCAGGCACACTGCTTCTCCAGGAGACCTGGGGCTGTTCATCCATTTGTGGCTGGCACCATTCTTCATCTCATATTACTAGAATGCCAGCATTTTCTTGTGGTCAGTAGATGGATTATTCTTATTTATTCCGATTTTCTTCTACTCAGAAATGTGTTTAACACTTACATTCTAAACATGATTTATTAAATAACTGTTTTTGAGCATGGAGTGAAGGAACTCTTGCATCCTCTGCAAATGGCCACTGGCAGTCATGTAGCTATGGATGCCCATTGTACAAGGCAGAAAGAAGATAGATTTGGAGCAAGGCAGAGCTGGAAGGAGCTGAGCAGCACATGTGGGATCCTCAGTGAGGTTAGGAGAGGCTGGGGCAGTCCATGTGAATGGAGAGTAGCCCCACCACTTTATTTTTGGAAATAAAGGCTAGGGAGGACAATATTGGGAAGTTATGGCCCTTGTACATTCTTACACTATCCCTCTGGTACCTCCCTAGTAGTTGTCCAAGGGTCAATTTTTTTTGTGTGTGAGTGCACTACTGGGGTTTGAACTCAGGGCCTACAACTTGAGCCATTCCAACAGCTCTTTGTTTTGTGAAAGGATTCTTTGAGATAGGGTCTCTTGAACTATTTCCGTGGGCTGACTTCAAACTGAGATCCTCCTGATCTCTGCCTCCTGAGTAGCTAGGATTACAGGAGTGAGCCTGTACTGGTGACTGGCAGGGTCAAGATTTTTAAAAGAAAAACAAACTAATGTCAATTTTCTATCCACCTGTCAAAGTGGAGAACCCTTCCAAGACAGGACACATACTCATGTAATAGTTTGAGGCATGGGAAAAAAAGACAAGCCCTGAACTCACAGTGAAGTAGGCTCACTGATCTAGATATTCTAGTGACCCCAACACCAAGTGAGAAGTTCTACAAGGTGTATGGTCCCCTGGGGGCAGGAGGTCAAACACCTTGGAAATGACTGGTTCTTGATGAACCAGAGGAAATGGCAAGAGAACAACTGGGATTTGACTTAAAAATCTGCACCCATTGAAGATGTGTTTTCTGATTCCCAGAGGATGATCACACTGGGGGAGCTAAGGCAGGAAGCTCTCTTCTCTGCCTACACTGCTTCTTTCAGAAGCATGACTGCCACAAAGGAGCCCAGCATCAATTCTGCTTTTCCTGCCTGTGTCCTTGTTATTTGCACATACATTATTTAACTCTTTAGGTTTTAATTGCTTACTACATGGATACAATTGGTTAGAAATTTTACACATTTTAATGAGAATAGTAAGCAGTGCTATATGGGAAAACAAAAATTTGCCAGTTTCTGAGGCGGGATGGGCATCACTGTACGGGCTGAGTGGAGAGCACCTCAACCAGTTCCCTCTTCTCATTTGTTAAGACGACTTTGCTGAGCTCCCTGGGAGAATAATTCAAGCCTTTTTTCTTTGACGTTCCAGAAGTGTGTACGATGACTTCCCTGAGCTCCCTAGGAGAAAAGCAATGCAAGGCTTTTACTCTTGAAAGTCCCAACTTTTCCTTACTCCCATGTTAGCTAGGATTCTTAAATCACCCCTCAGTCATTTACCCTGCATCTTTATTGAAAATCTCATCCTTATCAGAAGAGTCCTTGTCATGTAGCTTCTGGGCCATATTTTTCTTGCGTGTGGCATTGAGAGATATGTACATATTCCTAAGCCAAAGTGGCCACCTTAACCAGACAAAGCTCTCCTAGGAAAGAGAAGAGGTGATATTAATTCTGCTTTCCCCTCCCTTTTCCAACCACAGCACCAAGTCCTCTTCAAACTTGCCTGATTCTCACTTTTCTTTGGGCATCTCCTGCGCAGAAATCCGAAAAGGCCTCTTGGAGGAAAACAAATGCACAAGACAATTAGTGAGTCATGCAATTTTACAAGTCTCTTACGATGTACATCTCAGGTCTTATTAAGACAAAAACTTGTGCTTTGGTCCATAATCACAATGAGCAAATTCACCCCAGACCTGGGGGCTTGAAAACAATTCCATGCATGCAGGGCTTCCAGGAGCTGTCCATGCCTGTCCCAAAGAACCCCACAATGTCTGGGGAGGCCTTTGTATGTGGCTTGGCATGGAACATAGGCAGGATCGTCAGCTCCACTTATCCCCTCTGCTAAGTATCCTTGTGCAGTGAACAAACTGCACAACCATAGTGGGAAGAAGCATTTCACACTCTCCAGAGCCTTTCATATCAGTCCCCTTCAGACATAGTCTCTCGTGCATCATTCGCTCACTAGGTTGGGGTGGGGGGTGAGTGAGAAGGTGTTTTCCTAGCTGCTTTACCCATAAGTTGAGTCACACCAAGCCCAAGCAAATGTCTGAGTCCAACTAATGAAGCTGTCTAGCTCATAGATTTTCCTACTGCAGTCAGTCACTAATAAACAAGGCATGAAATCAGTTTAAAGGCTATGACTAGTACTAAAACACAAAGTATGTTTTCTAAATACAAACAGAATAGGAAAAGTCAGAGTATTTGTTCCAGAGACTATGGTTGTCTGCATGGCACATGAGTACTGACTCGTGATATAAAATGTAATCACAGACAAACAACAGTGTAATTAATGGAGAAGTGTCAGGCTTGAAAGGAGCCACCTTCCTGATATTCACTAGCAGTGTGATCCCAGGACAAGATATTTCCCCTTTCTCCTTCCCCATTTCCTTATATAAAAGGAAGAGACAAACTACTATTTAAGGTCTCTTCCAGCTAAAATTCTATGAGGTTTGGGTATAAAAGAGAGAATAGAGATGAGAATGTAACCAGTAGGATTGAGAAGGTAAGTTTTACTACCACTTTAGAGGAAGGACTCAGATGCTCCATCTTTCACCAGCCCTATATTCTAACATCCTGGAGCTTCCTAACCCAGACTCCTAGAAGACCTCTCTTGGACCTGATGCCCACCACCAGCAGGAGCAGGCACACTCAAACCTCTTACTCTTCACCCTCTATACTTGAAGGACTGGTGACAGCAAAGTCCTGGCTACCTCTGCATTGGCTAGGAAACTACTTTTGCTGGAGCCAGTCAAAACCCTATGTGAAATGAGTATTCTTCCCACCTCTGGCAGTTTCCTCACAGTTAGACCAGGGGATCTGAAGAGATGAGTTCTAAGTTCTCCCCTTGTTCTCAGACCCTCACTAAAACACTTCCAGACCTATATTTACCTTGAGGAGCCTTCTCTATCATCCTCTGTTGCTATTCTGTGGGAATAAATCTGTTTTGGAAGAAAGCACAATCATGATTATCCACCACAACGACCACTATCTCCAAATCTGTATCCATTCCTTTCATTTATTTTAAGTCTTATCTACCCAGTGAGGTATGTTTTCTGAACACAGGAATTCTATTCTGTTAATAGTTCTTTTTCTCTTCCACAGTACCTTGGAATCTTGCATGCAGCTGGCACTTAATACATTATATTGACTGTTTTGGATAAAATTCAGTGGATAATTCCTAATAAAAACCCTTCAAATAGAAAACATTCTTAACTTGATTTAAAAAAAAGGTTCTACCAGAAACCAGAACAATGGTGTTCTTTTAAAATCAAAAACAAGGGTAAAATGTTTCTTATTACTGCTTGGAGACATTCCTGTTGAGGAGGTCCGAATCAATGCAATAAGAAAAATAAATGGGGTATAAGTGTTAGAAAGGAAGGGACAAAATATTATTATTTGTATATGAAATGATGGACAACCCAAAAAGCCCAAGAGAATCAACTAAACTTTTGTTAGAAGTAATAGGAGAATTCACAAATGTGGCTAGATACCAAATAAAGAGATCAGGCCACATAGCTTTCCTATGTACCACCAGTATGAACTGGAAAAATGGAAGAAAGATCCCATTTACACTAGCAATAAAGATGTAGAAAGTCCCACAGAATAAACTTAACCAAAAATGTATAAGATTTATGTGACAAAAATTCTAAAACTCAGGGCAGGGCATGACGAGTCATGCCTGTAATCCCAGCTACTTGGAGGGATTGGAGGCTCATGGTCTCAGGCCAACCCAGGCAAAAACCTGAGACCCTATCTCAAATAGTAAGCATGTGCAAGACCCTGAATTCAAACCCCAGTACAAAAACAAATAAGCAAAAACCAATAAACCCTCTCCTGGAGGATTTTAAGAAGAATGAATTCATGGTAATAAAGCAGTACAGGCTTTATGGTCAGGGAAACTGGAGGGTTTTTTTTTTTTTTTTTTTTTTTTGCCTTTAGTTTTGCTACTGAACCTTTAAATGATCTCCTTCATTTGTAAAGCAGGATCAATGAGATCTTCCTCACAGGATTTTTGTGAGGATTAGATCAGATGATCTGTGGAAAACTCTTTGCCCTATGCCTAGCATCCATAAATGCTAAGATTGCTATGGCATCAGAGGCAACGTGGTCAAATCTACCAAAGGTTCCTGCCCATGGCATCAGGCTTAGAAAGCTCTTTCCACCACAAAACTATAAAAGTACTGCCTGTGTTTTTTCCTAATACTTTTATACTTAGTTTCTCTCCCTCTCAGAAAGCTCTCTCCCTCCTACCTTGTCCCTCTCGCCCTCTCTGTCATTACATTTACCGAAATATGTTTGTTTAAGGTGAAATGTAGGAATGTTTTGTTACTTGCTCCAAATAGTTAGGGCAGCTTTTCTGTCACCATTTGCTCATTTTCTCCCACTGACTAGAATATTAGAAGATGACATTTCAAAAGTCTTAGGCTAGGAGTGTAGCTCAGTGGTAGAGCACATGCTTAGGACATGCAAGGCCTGGGGTTTAATTCCCAGTGCGTGCGCACACACTCATGCACACACAGACACACACACACACTCCTTGGGAATACCTAGTCTGTCTGTTGCTGGACTCTGTATGCTACTTTAAATAAATATTGCATTGTGTTATTCCTCATTGTGGAGTTGACATAATGCTTATCTCTTCCTTTGACTGCCATTACTTTCTACTGCAGGTAAAACACTGCAGGCTTCCTGTCCTTTCAGAGCTTATTATTTAAGCAGGCAAAGGAAATAATGAAAACACAAATAAATACAAATACAGGTTGAACTGTACATAAAAATTAAAAGCAGTACAGGAGTTTATAGAATTTTCAAGAAAGGCCATAGCCACTGGGAAATGCAGAGGGTACTGCCTGTGCAGTGGCCAGTGATCATCTTCCCAGAGGTCTTCACAAACTAACCCCATGCTGGTCTCTGACTCCTAGATACAAATTAGACTCTGTCATCTTTGGATTGACCCAAATTCAGAATGCCACGTAATGGCTTGACAGTGAGAAATACTATTCCACAGCCAGAACACCATGTACACCATCAAGGAATTACCTTTCTCTAGAGAGTGAGAAAATCCCTTTGGTTTTCAGTTTGTGGGTTTGGAATCTATTACAAAGACAACACATATTCTGGAAACCTGAATGAATTGTGGTCCTTACCTCAATGACACAGAAAATTATAATTGAAATCATCACTACTATGGTCATAGATACTGCCAAGATGAGTTTGTTCTTATAACCATATCCTGGAACTTCTTCTGTAAGCTAAAAAAATAATAATTTTTGTTAAATAAGGAAGAGCTTGGAAGGATGAAAAGTATTTAAAACCCCATTCCTTCAGGTGAGTAGCTTGTGGTTTCTTAAAGAACACACCAAATGTAGTATGTTACATGCCTTATTAATTTGCTTTTTTTTCTACTAAATTTTATCTGTTTCAGGTCCACTTTACTCTCCAAAGGAGAAAAGTGGGGGACACTGTCTTGGCCTCATAACTTTGCACTGGACTAGAGCCCCTGTTCTTCCTGCTGCAGTTGGCATATCCTAAACAATGGGAAAATCGGAGTCTTATGTTTTATAGATTTGCTCACCTCACTTGATTCCTGCCCCTTCTTTTCACTCTGAACTTCTTTGTTGTCACTGATGTAGTCCTCTGTTTTCCGCTGGTCCATATCCCAGTCAGTTCTGGACACACTGGGTTCTTGCTGCTTACTAAGAATCTTCATCAGGTAGCCTGTTCTGAGCATGAGCTTAGAACAGGCCCTTGAAAATTCGGCTTCAGAGCAGTCAATTCTCATGTTCTGTATCATGCGAGAAAGAAGTGTTTTCACATTATAGTTGGGGATGAGGAACTGAAGCTGCTGGATTAGCTTTGATTCGAGATGGTCAATCGGGGGTAGCAATGTGCTAAGGAGATTTTTGGGCTTGGTGGGGGAGTCAGTGCCCATGCTGGGGTATTCCCATTGTATCTCACTGGTTTGTTTCACAGTTGGTATTTCATCAAATGCACCCACACTGGAATCTGCATCAGCAGCATCTTCCTGGTTTGTGGCATCAGAGAGAGTTTCTTCTGGCTCATCAGTGTTTGCCACAAGAGCATTTCCTTCAAAAGCACTTCCTTCAGTCTGTTTTTGCATAGGACTGTCCTCTGTAACGGGTTCTGCAAGAGCATATACATCTGAAAAAGGGTTGTTCTGAGAACTCAGGTCTTGCAAAGATGAAAAGGACCTTCGTGAAGGGAAATTTATGAGGCTCCTCACTGCAGAGAATTGAGGGCCATGTGCAAGCAGCATGTTCGAGCGTGACTTTTTCTTTCTGAACTTGGGTATTCTATGGACCACATGAGAGCCTGTTTGATGGTAATTTTTTTGATCATATGTGATTGGTTTAGAAGCCTCCATGTTTCTAACTCTAGCACTTGCCTCTTCTAAAACAAACATGGTGTAGGTGAAGTCTTCTGCTTTATTTCTGACCCTAGGTAGTGGTTTTGCAATGGTGGGCATGAAAGCCCTGTCCACCGAGTATGGACTTAGGAAAGAAGAGACAGTTGCCTTCTGTTCTTTTGTGAGTGAGGGCTCTGTTTGGAAGGTGAACTCCTCTGATATCCTGGGCTCCTGTACCATGTGAAGCTGCTCCAGCTCCCTTAGGGGTGGTCTCTTATCCCTTCTTTCTGCAGCAATAGCCTCCACAAGAGGGGGGGCACTCTGCTTCTCCCAGGTGCTCTGTTTCCTCACTTCCTTGAAGGGCCTTTTCTGTTTGCCTTTTGGCCCCTTGAGGACTCTGTTCACCCTCTGCAGCCTTTTCTCCACAGACTCTGCCAGGCTGTTTTCTTGTGGTTGGGCAGTGTCCATTTTCCTTTGAAAGATTTGGCGTTTAGATTTGGGACCTAAAAGGCTGGGCTGCATAAACATGGCTGTTTTTTCTTTCTTTTTAACCTCATCAATTTTTTCCTGAATTTCTGCATCTAACAAATTTTCCAGAAAATAGAGCTTGTTCAGTTTATTTTTGTAAGCTGAGTTGTTTGAAGAAGGTTTAAGAGTGGGTCTCTTTATATCATTTTTTAAATTACCAGGGGAATTATTTCCATTTTGCCCATTGGAAAAAAGCAGTTTAATGAATGGTAACAATTTTGATTTTACATCTTCTAGATTGCCCTGTGAGAAAAATGGCAATATGTAATTTAGTGCACTATTGAGATCACTTTCATCATTAAAGTCTGGCTGCTCATTTATGAAGCCAGAAAAGCTGACACCATTTTGGTCCTCATATTCACTTTCTGGTTCAATAATCAGCTCGGTGCTTGTCCTCTTCTTCCGGGTCTGTAACACCTTCATGAATTTTCCTTCTGTGTTCCCTATAGATGCTTCTTCAACTGTCAAAAAAAAAAAAAGACTGCTGATGATAAGGGAAGACTGGTGACAGTTTTTTTAAAATCATTTCATTGCCACATATAGTAGGGGTAGGCAAATATTTGAGTGACATTTAAGGGGAGAAAAATAAGCCTGAACTTAAATCTATGAAATGGCAACAAAAAGAAAAAGACATCTTTGACAAAGTAGCTACCTACTCAGAACATTCCATAATGTGGAATACAGGAACTCTATTTAGGACAGCCAATTACCCAATACTCAATAAAATACCAAGACTGGAAGACAAATATTTGTCTGCTCAGTAAACCTCTCTTCACATTCACAATCACCACACTGTCCTGTCTCAGACCCAGAAGGATAACAAAACTTCTCTCAATCCCCCTTCCCCATACTGTGTTCTTGCTACCATCACAGAGAGCCATTATGAAGGACAGTCCTATGAGGGGAGCATTCTTTTTGCTAAGAAGTCCTCAGCTGGCCCTGTCCGCCTCCACCTACCCATCCTTTGGTTGGTCTCTGATCCCATATAGCCTAACCCACATGAAAGAAGGCGCTACACCAAACAAAAACAAAAACACTATATCATTCCTGGCTCTTTCCTTAAATTTGGGGAGCGAGCTAGAATGTAGGTTAGGAAATTTTTAGTTTTCCTGGCTGTATGTCTATGTGAAATGTGCAACAGATCTGTAGAGTAACAGCAATTTCTGGGGAAACGTGTCTTGAGATCCTAAGTGTGTAGGGAAAAGCTACTTTTTCCCAGTGTCTGCACTGCTTTCATTTCATTTCTATCACTTCCAGTTTGGGAGCCATCCAAGCTTCTGACTGTATGAGGGTCAAGTGGGCCATGGTGTAGTTAGGCTTTTTTCCAGGACAATTGAGAGTATTTGTGGTGGTAACGAGGGTCAGAGGAGGAGGGGAGGATGATGACAAAGGAAGAATATGGGCCATGGAGAGCCAAGAACTGGGGACAGAAGACTTGGGTATGGGGCTAATGCACTTGACACCTGGGATCTTATTTTCCTCACTGTAAAAGGAGACAAAAAAGTATATTTTGCCACCTCTGGGGGAGAAGGGAATAATGTTATTGGTGAAAATTGTTTTGAAAAATAAGCAACACTGGGCTTATGTCAGTCACAAAGTGCTATTATTTATTTGCACCACTTCACCAGTAGGGTTGTGTTTTCAAGCTGTCAGGGTATCAAAGCAATGATATTTGGAAGCTATGAAGTTAGTACTAATATTAAGAACCAAGACACAGAGAATAGATAGAAAAGCCTGAGATTGAGAGTGAGTTCAGAGTTGGACAGTCTAAGCATGAAGAGCCCTCACTCCATTAGGAGTGAGGCAGCAATTACTAGTTAAAGAATTAGAAACTCCCAGTCTCCACTTAAAAGAGCATCACTTATAATCTTTTTATAAAATTGCAAAAACAAACAAGCAAAACCCACATACACCTGCCCTAGAGGTCAGAGAGCACCCGAGACATAATACGTAAAAAAGCGACTTAAAAACTGCATGACACTATATGAATAGGTGATCACTGGATGTCAGAGCACCAAGCAGAGAGCACAGTACAGTGTGTGACCATTAATATCATTCTCTGCCTCTTCTAGATCCCTGCCCAAATGGAAGAGTTATATTATAAATTATGTGACAACTAAGAACCTGACATTGAGCATGGCAGCAGTTCAGAAATTTATGGAGTTTAACTCTGGGTGAATCAATAAAAGTAAAGCAATTTTACATTATTAGTTTAAAAATGTGTAATCATTACTTAAAAACTGAACATTAAAAGCTAAAACATTTTAGGGGGGAGAAATGGCCCAAACAATGTATGCACAAGTGAATAAATTAAAACATTTTTCATAAGAGAACAGACTCACAACAATGTATGGTGTTTGTCAGACATTCATTGTCACAATGCAGCTTGACTGTCTTGCAGACAATTTCAATATATTTAAATTGGCAGAGGCAGCAGGTCATATGCCTAGGTAAGATCCTATAAATGGAAACAGAGATAATTAAGTTAATGGAAAAGGGCTTATTGAGGGGTAGAAGTGGACAACCAAGGCTACCACAGGGCTGTGCATAAAGAACTCTTGAGGCAGCACATGACCTGAACAGGTAGGTAGGAACCCAAATGTAAATTTCTGCTCTTGAATATTGAAAATAAACAGAAAAGAAGGCAAGTGCCCAAATGAAGGACCAGTATGGCAGTGGGTGTCATATGCCTAAAACTGTGCTAAGGATTAGAATTGGGTGGCATTGATCTGTAGTATCAATCAGAAGCATCTATTCTCAACTCAACTTTCACTCTGGGTTGGGAGTGCACAGGAAGGAGGCAGACTTCGATGATAAACTCCCAACTTATGGAGTCACTTTCTCAATTCCCATTGGGAGTAGCAAATACTAGAAATTGTTCTGGGCATTATAAACAGCATAGCTTAATCTATATTGTGTGGTTAGAAAATAACAGATCACATTGTGCAAATCTAGGCAATTTGAGTACACAAAACAATAAAGAGGGCTAGGGTGGAGCTCAGAGGTATAGGGCTTTTCCAGTATGTATGAGACCCTGGCTTTACCCACACAAGAACTGTAAAGATGATAATAAGGTACAACATAAATAAGAAGAATCCTGTACCCATAGTGGTACTCAAAAAAAAAAAAACCAAGTGTGTGGGGGGGAGCTGTTCATTAACAGAATAATAATAAATGTAGATTAGAAAAGCATCATTTTGTGAGCTGTGGGGAGTGGATTAAAGCCTATGAGAACTGGACACAAGCAAGGCGAGATGCAGTTAATTGCTTTTACCTGTAGGCTGAGATAGGCACAGCCCTTGGCCATGAAACAGAGAAAGGCAGAACAGCTGCTTCTCCTAAACTGTTCAGAGAATAGGTACCCTCCCCATGGCTCTACCCTGTTGCTGCTATAAAAGTCCCCTGAAGGAGGAAGAGGGGCTTTTGTGTCTTTACTTTGGGCATTTTGGTGTGGGAAGCTTTTGGAAGGGAAAAGAATTGTTGAAGGGAAAACGCTAAAGAGAAAGGGGAAAAATTGCTGAAGGGAAAAGAATTATTGAAGGGAAAATGCCAAAGGGAAAGGGAACAATTGCTGAAGGGAAAATGCTAAAAAGGAGTTGATAGAAAGTCTGCACCGAGAACTTTAACATAGGCTTCACAAAGCAAATCTGAGAAAGAACTTCATACATAGGACTTAGGAAAGCTAAAACTAAAGAAAAGCCAAAGAGAACATGGGGCAGTGCACAGTGTAAGTGTAAGGACTGAGACCTTAAGAGTTATGCACATGCAGGTTGTAGGCCTGGCTGTTTGCAATTTTGTGCACCCAGGCTTTCAGAGAGCTAAAGAGAGATGAGAGTGCAAGCCTGGGGGCAAAAGACTTTAAGAGCAATTAAGCTAAAGATAAACTGAGGGCAAGTATGGGACAGGGCAAGCCTAAGGAAAGAGGTCTTAAGCAAGGTTTTAAAGAACTACAAAGAGCAGGCCTTAAAGAATCAAGATAAAGAAAAGAAGCAATGAGGGTTGTGCATCTCCAGCCAAGCTTACAACACACCTGACCCCAAATTTCATTCCGTCTGTCTGTCTATCCTATATCTTCTCTAAAATCTCCAGTCGCCCCCAGTTAAGCCCAGTTAGGTCCAGTAATAACGAAGGAGCAAGAGAGAAAACCTCATTCCAGCAAGGGAGGGAGTGCGAGAAACAGTGCCCCCTTCAGTGAGCACCAAGTAATAACTGGTTTGAACAGGATTCTCATTGATGCACAGTTGGGTGAAAAGATGTTTGAGGGTAGCATCTTCACTGATCTCAAATTGCTACTCCACTGGTTATTTAGTAATTATCAAGCAATAACTTGAAGATCTTGAAGATGCCACTTTAATCACGTGATTAACCATGGGTCACCTGAAAGCATGTGGTATATCAAAGGTTTCACCTGAATTTAGTCCTGAGGAAAAGACAAATCCAGATTGTGGGACAGTTCACAAGACAACTGTCTCAGACTGTTTAAATGTTCTGATGTCATGAAAGGCAAAAGGAAAAAAAGTGGTCAAGTGTTTTAGACCAAAGGAAATAACAACTGGTTTATAACTGTCCCTGAATAAAAACAAAACAGACTTAAGGAATATTATTGGCTTATGGCCAAGATGGAGTGACAGGAACCAATTTAACCTTCTATCCGAAACAACCAAAACAACAATAATAAAATATATGAACGAATAGTTTTCAAGACATTGGATGTCAGACAATCAAGAAATGAGAAATGAAGGAAGTCAGCCCTGTGATTTCTTTACCTGTTATAGTTTGCTTATGAGGAATAATCCATAGAGTGGTATTGAAGGGTGTTAACCTCAGTAATGGATTAATCCATTTATAAGTGCATAGCTGAAAAAAAGTAAATAAAAAAGGAAATGGAACTGAGAGTCTAGGTGAACCAATTATAGGTGACTATAATTCAGAGCACAGTACCAGAGGAGAAAGAGTCACACAGAGAAAGAACTCTGGAGCCATGTCGAAGGATGGTTGAATATACAGCAAAGTACTAATCAGAGCATGTGTGTGAGGAAACTACTCAAGGCCAGGAAAAGAACCACCAACAGATTAGAGGATATGGCACAGGGCTAGCAATACTGCCTGTTCCCACAGGGCAGACTGGAAAGCCTAATGATCATGGTGCTGGGTACTCAAAGGTCTTGCCTTAGTACTTGTCAATAATGAACACTGGATTAAGGGTTACTTTGTAGTCCCCCTTTACAAATCATCCAAGTTAGAACCCAAATGGTGAAATTGTTTTGAGTAATATAACCTCACCTGAAATATGATCAAGCATACTTATAGGAATATGGAATACATAATACACAACAAACTCAAATTCATAAGGTGTGGAATCCAAAAATTACTATGGATGCAAAGAAGCAAGAAAATATGACCCATATTGAGGGGGAAAATCAGTCAATCATAACCAATTCAAGACTTGCATGTATGTTAGAATGAGCACACAAAAACATGAAAACACTTCTTATAAATGGGCATGAGGTATGTAAAAACTTAAAGAGTGAAAATGGCCACAGAGAATAATAGTGTTTTTTCTATCCAAAAAAAAAAGGCATCAAAGCATCAGGGCAGGATGCCCTCCTGTAATCTCAGCACTCAGGAGACAGAGGTAGGAGGATTACAAATTTAAGGGCAGCCTGCGGGGAGGAGGAGATAAAGGAGAAGGGTGGAGGGGGTGAATTAAAGTATGATATATTTGATACATTGTAAGAACTTTTGTAAATTCCACAATGTACCTGCACCCAGCACAACAATAATAATAACAATAATAATAAAGGCAGCCTGGGTTACATAGCAAGACCCTGTTTCAAAAAAAAGAAGAAAAAAAGAAATAGGAAGGAAGGAAGGCAGGAGGAAGGGAAAGGAAGGGAACACAGGGAGGAAGGACAAGGGAGAACACCACTACCTTGTGTAACTAAGAAGCCTGGTTAGTGATGAGGACTCTGCTATCCAAAGGAAGGCATCTCCCTGACAGTGGGGGATCAACTACAGATGCTATGGGAGGTTGAGGATGATGAGACTGGAGCAGAAACCAGCAGATTTGACATCATGGGGATTTTAGTCAGGAGGTGTCCTCATAAAAATGATCACAGCAGAGGGCTAAATGAAGGGCCTTTTCCATACTAACCTTGAGCATATAAATTTCTACTTAGCTTGCCATATTGGAAGGAAGGTGTCACAATTTAAGCTGTTGTAAGTGGTATGATAAACTGTCGTGATAGACCCTACAGAAATATTTTTCAAAACCTAAGAAAAAAAAATACCTCACACTATACATTAAAATTAACTCAAAATGGATCATAGACCTAAATGTAACTGTAATTTCTGAGAGGAAACATAGGAGAACATCTTTATGATTGGCTTAGACAATGATTTTTTGGTTGCTACTGTGGTTTTTTTAATTTAATTTTTACTAGCATAAGTTAATTGTACAAAGGACTTTCGTTGTGATATTTACAACAGGCATATAAAGTTCTTTGATTATCTATTTTACTCTTTCTTAGCCCCCTTCCCTCTCATTTTTAACAGTTTTTCAGGTACTATGGGTTTTGTTTTAACTTTGTTTTCATTTTGTTTTTGGGTCGGACTGGGGTTTGCACTTAGAAGCAGGTGATCTAACACTTGAGCTGCACCTCTGCTTACTAGGCAAGCGCTCTACCACTTGAGCCATGCCCCCAGCCCTTTGTGTGTGTGTGTGTGTGTGTGTGTGTGTGTGTGTGTGTGTGGTGTGTATGGTTGGGGTTTGAACTCAGGGCTTCACACTTACAAAGCAGGCACTCTACTGCTTGGACCTCCACTCCATTTTGCTCCAGTTGTTTTGGAGATAGAGGTCTCATTAACTGTTTGCCCAGGGTGGCCTTGAGCCACGATCTTCCCAAATTCAGACTCTCAAGTGTGAGAATCAGATTAGGTTGGGTCTTTTCTGTCAAAGGATTTAAGTAGTAACTCCCGCTGTTACAAATGTTAGTCTCACTAACTTGCTTCCCATACACTTGCTTCATGGACTCTACTTAATGTGACAAAAGTTTCTATTAAGAACACAGGGTTGGAGGAGATCAAGATGGCAGCTAGGGTGTGGAAGCAGAAAGCCTAAGCTCTGTGACTCCAGAAACCAACTTGAGACGTCAGAGCTACATTTGGGTAATTCTGATTGCTTCTAGCCAAAATAATAACCACCATCACATTAGGTGCAGAAGAAATTCAAAGACTGACCCTTAAATCAGCCTTTAATTGCACCTAACATCTGTGATCATGGCACAGCCAGCAAGGCAGATCTGGCCCTGGAAAAACCACCCCCCCCAGCCCCAGGCCATTTCTCTCTCACTCGCTCTTTTTTCTTTCCTTCTCTTCTCCTTCCATCAAGCAGAAGACAGAGTACCAATCAGAATCCAACTCTGCAACATCCTGAACACCTAGCCCATGGAAAGCCTC